GCCAAAAAGCACATAAAGCAATGTTCAAAATCCCTATCTTTAAGAGATACAAATCAAAACAACTATGAAATATCAACTCATCCCAGTCAGAATAGCAAAATTTAACACAACAGCAAGCAACAAATGCTGGCGAGGTTGTGGAGAGACTGGAATTCTTATTCACTGTTGGTGGAAGTGTAAAATGGTGCAACTATTGTGGAAAATGGTGTGGTGCTTTCTCAAAAAGTTGCAAATAGAGATACCATTTGACCCAGCAATTCCACTAATGGGAATATACCCTAAAGAGACCATAGCTGACATCCAAGCAGATATATGCACACCCATGTTTATCGTGGCTTTGTTCACAATAGCAAGTAGTTGGAAACAACCCAAGTGCCCATCAACAAAAAAATGTATAGAGAAGCTGTGGTATATTCACACAATGGAATACTACACTGCATTGAAAAACAAGGGACTCATGCAATATTATTAAAAATGGGTGAGCCTGGAGGACATTATGCTGAGTGAAGTATCTCAGTCACAAAAGGACAAATACTGCATGGTGCCACTGTTGTAGAACAGGACTGACATCAGGGTTGGGGTAAGACTGAGAAAAACTGGATAAATTATGTACTGCATTAAAACATATGAGGAAGAGAACAATTTAAAAGTGATATATGATAGGTTATTACAGTTATCACAAGAGTCCAGAATTAAGGTTGCATAGTGCAGTGTACTAGGGTTGGGCGGGGGGAATTGTATACCAATGAAAGAATTTTTCTTTTACTTTTCAAAGAAGAGGAGCAAACTGGGGAGGAGGGGTGGGCAGGGTGAAAAGTGCAACAATGAATAAATGGAAATTCAAAATCTCTGTAAATGTTCATTAAAATTAATAAAATAAAATTTAAAAATACATATAACATGGGAGAGACAGGAGAGCATTATGCTGAGTAAATTAACTCAATCTCATAAGGACACACTACATAAGACTATTATTGTGAAAAGAAAAGGATAACTAGTAAAACATGCCTATAACAACAACAACAACGGTAAAACTTTAATGGGGACCCATGGGGGAAGAGGTGGGTACGGAGGGGTGAGTATCGGGGGAGGTGTCATACAATTTGGTGGGTGGAGAGGGGTAAAGGAAATAGGAAAAACCGTGGGAACCTGAAAAGATGGGGTCATGGGGGCATAGTCCAATGTTTATAAACAATGTATGGCAATGATTGAATTAAACACAATGTGAATGAATAATAATGTTAAACACAATGGATACAAACTTTGTAAGCAAACCAATACAGAGTAACAATAAAAAAGAAGCATTTCAGATTATTTCCGCTCAATAGAAAAAAAAATTATAAGTACAAATACTGCCCCTCCACCAATTTGCCTATAAAAAGAAATGGGCTACCTTTTTTTAATCCACTAAAAAAATGTCTTTGAATATATTTGGGAAAGATATTTTACAGGCCGGTGTAAGTTCTGTGGTGTCAAATGATCTTTAACAAATATTTCTTTTTAAGAAGGTAATCTTTTAATTTTTAAAAATAGTGCTTTACCCCTCTACTCTGCCCCTTGAGTTCCTGTACATGTTTTACTAGCTATCTTTCTATTTTATAGTAATGGTCTTATACAGTATTTCCCCTTATGAGACTGCGTTAGTTTTCTCAGCATAATGGTTTTCCAGCTTCTCCCAAGTTACGACTTGTTTTTCAAAGTCACAGTTTGGCCTGTAGAGGGAGGGGAGAAAGCAAATCAGAAGGATCTGAGTGAAAAGATAGGTAATGATGGGCAAGGTCCAGCGGTGATTAATTTTATAAAACAATGCACAATAATGATTGTCTGAAATACAATGTGAATGAGGAATAGTGTGAAACACAGTGTATGTAAACTTTGTAAGCAAACAAATGAAAACAAACCATAAAATAGAATGCATATGAATAATTGTATGAAACATAATGTAAATGAAAAATTGAATAAAACACCATGTATCAGAAACAGAACTGGCGCTAAGAAAAACAATACCCTTTACAATAGTTAATCATAAGATTAAATACTTGGGAGTGAATCTAACCAGAAGCACAAAAGATCTATTTAAACAAAATTACAAAACATTACTACAAGAAACAAAAAGAGACCTTAAAAAGTGGAATATCTCTTGCTCACGGATAGGAAGACTCAATACTGTGAAAATGACAATATTACCAAATGCAGTTTGCACCTTCAATACAATCCCAATACAAATAACAAACAATTCCATACATCAACAAGATAGAAAAGACAATCTACAGTTTAATTTGGAATGGAAAGAAGCCCTGAATAAACAAAGCACTCCTTAAAAAGAGAAACAAGGTAGGAGGCATCACACTCCTTGATTTAAAATCCTACTACACTGCTGTTTTGGTCAAGACAGCATGGTACAGTTACAATAACAGACACATAGATGAATGGAATAGAATTGAGAACCTGGAAATCAGTAGATCTACCTATGGTCAACTGATTTTTTTACAAGGAGATTAAATAAGTCAAGTGGGGAAATGACAGCCTTTTTAACAAATGTTGTTGGCAAAATTGGAAAACTATTTGCAGAAAACTCAAGCAAGATCCACACCTCACCCCATACACAAAAACCAACTCAAGGTGGATCATAGACCTAGGACTAAAACCAAGGACTAGAAACTTTATTAAAGGAAAGCTTGGAAGAACTGTAGAAGTCCTAATCAAACAGTCACAAACAGTCTTCCAAGCATCCTGAAAAAACTACAACCAGGAGATGGTAAAATAGATAAACAGGACCTTCCAAGATTAAAATCCCTATGAACATCCAAAAACGTTTCCAATAGGGTAAAAAGGGAAGCCACAGACTGGGAAAAAATGTTTGGTAATGACATGTCTGATAAGGGACTTATATCTAGAATTTATAAAATACTCGAACATCACAACAAGGTAAAGGTAAACAAATCAACTGGAAGATGGGCACAGGTTATGAACATACACTTCACCAAAAAAGACATTCAGATGGACAACAAGTACATGAAGAAATGTTCAAAATCCCTAGCTCTAAGAGAGGTAAATTAAAACAACTATGAGATATCATCTCATCCCAGTCAGAATAGCAAAATTTAACAGAACAACAAACAACAAATGCTGTTGACGTGGAGAAACTGGAACCCTTATTGACTATTGGTGGGAGTGTAAAATGGTGTAACCACTATGGAAGGTAGTATGGCGCTTTCTCAAAAAGTTACAAATAGATATACCATTTGACTCAGCAATTCCACTATTTGGAACATACCACAAAGAAACCATAACCATCACCCAAGCAGATATATGTACACCCATGTTCATTGTGGCTTTGTTCACAACGGCAAAGAGTTGGAAACAACCCAAGAGCCCATCGACAAACTAATGGAAAGAGAAACTGTGGTATATTCACACAATGGAATAAAATGCTGCATTAAAAAACAAGAAACGCATGAAATAGTATACAGAATGAATGGGTAACCCTGGAGGACAGTATGCTGAGTGAAATATCTCAGTCACAAAAGGACAAATACTGCATTGTGCCACTGTTGTAAAAAGGGACTGACATCAGGGTTGGGGGTAGAATGAGAAAGATGGAATAAATAATGTATATACTGCATTGAACCAGATAAGGGAGAGACCTGTTTAAAAGTGATATATGATTAGGTATTATTGTCATGACAGGAGTCCAGAATGAAGGCTACATAGTGGAGTGGACTTGGGGAGAGGGATTGTATAACAATGAAATAATTTTTCTTTTAATTTTCAAAGAGAAGAGCTAACTGGGGTGGGGGAAGGTTGGGCAGGGGAAAATGTGCAACAATGAATGAATGGAAATCCAAAGTCTCTATAAACTTTGATTAAAATGAATAAAAATAAATAAAAAAAATTTTAAAAAATGAAACAATGTAAAGGAATTTTTATATGAAAACCAATAAAAAATACTTTTTTACAAAACTTGAAAAAGGCCACCAAAAAACAGTGCACTATAGAGATATGTCATGCATCTGTCCTGCAGCTTCTAAAACAACTTGGGTTGCAGAACATTTGTTTTCTTCTTTGACCATCTTGTTCCCTGTCTTTCTCAACTATGGCTAAAAATCAGCAGGATTAGGATAATGTTCTGATCTGTGGTTCACAGAATTGCTATGACTTCTGGTTGACTTGATTACGCTTATGAACAAAAAAAAGGTCCTCAGCCCTAGTGGTTTCATCAGCCAGTCCTGATTGCAAACCAAGCATGAAAGTTCAAAGAGAAAGAATAAATATGGTCCTACCTGCTTTACTCTTAGTGGTCAATAAGTGTTCAACGCTTGTTGAATGAGTGATGGATTGAAGAATATGTAGGAACATTAAAGAAAAGGTGAATAGAAAAGTCAGCAAATACAAAGCAGAGATAAAATAACCGTTGTATGATCTTAAATTTCATTCTAGTACCAGAAATATTTAATTATTCTCCCATTTGAGTTACTGCCTCGGAAAGCCCACTGAAGGGGTGAGGATGTGAAGAGAGAATTAATCATGGAATTGTACAATTTGATGGGGCATGGGGTGAAGGAAATTGGAAGAATCAGTTCTGGAAATCAATGTATTCAAATTTTGTAAATAAACTGTTGTTCTTATCTGCCGTTGAGTCGGTTGCAACTCATAGCGACCTTATGTACAACAGCCCTAAACCCTGCTCTATCCTGTGCTGATCACACTGCCTTTGACACACCCATCCCAATTACCCCAGTCATTAAATTAATCCACCTCATAGAGGCTCTTCCCCTCCTGCGCTGTCCCTCCACCCTTCCAAGCATGATGTCCCTCTCCAAGGACCTCTCCCTTCTTACAACATGTCCAAAGTATATCAGACGAAGCCCCAGAATCCTTGCCTCCAAGGAACAGCCTGGTTTAACCCTCTTCAGGATGAATCTGTTTGTTTTCTTGGCAGTCCACGGTACATTCAATACTCTTCTCCAGCACCACAGCTCAAAGGCATCAATTCTCCTTC